TCTAACTTCAGTGAGACCCGCAAATGACTCCAGTCCTGGCTCACACCTTGACTGCAACTTCTTGGGAGACCTCTAGGCCAACAACACACACTCTTGAATTCCTGACTCAGAAACTGTGACAGTAAATATTTATTGCTTTAAGATACAAAGTTTAAAACAAAAGACATGAAGTTGTAGGGTAATTGGGAATATAGCAGGAAGTTGCACAATACATGATAATGCAGCTTCTGAACATCTCTGGATTCTTTTCTATTTTCTTTTTTCCAGTGCTGCACATCAAACCCAGAGCCTTGTATGTGCCAAGCAAGTGCTCTGCCACTAAGATTCATACCCAGCCCCAATTTCTAGATTCTTTTTTTTTCTCTTTTTTAATTTTTTATTTATATTTTTTCTAGATTCTTTTTTTTTAGTTTAAACTATAAACTTTAATAATCTTAATATCAACTACATCTTTAAAGTTTTATTCATAAGTCATTTTAATTAAAATAAACTTAATTGAAAAAACAACCTGTCTTAGAATTACATAATATGAGATGTTTTAAGCATTTTTTTCTAGATTCTTAATGGCATTTCTTGGTGGGTCACCATTGCTTGTTCTTAAAACAGTAAATATAGGAATAATTCTATTCATCTCCAAGTCACAGAAGGCTGTATCAGCCCTGAAGATAAAAGGATATGGGGTGGAATCGTCTGGTAATGGCAATTTTGAGGAGTAAGGCTGAAAAATGTAAGCTGCTTTTGAAATCTTCTGGAAATCTTTAAGCAAGGTGGAAGACTCTAGAATAAAAAGGATTATATTTTATCCTTATGATAAACATTTTAATCAATACTATTATTACCATGTATATTTTTAAAAGTCAATTGGAAGATCATTGAGCTACTTTCAAGAATCCAAACGAGATTCCCACATTTCTTCATTAGAATGACATATACCCTATGGGAAAGAAAACAATCTGAAACCCTGTGGAGCCAGCATGTGAGGGAATACAACAATAACAATGATGAATTAACGTGGAGCGCACATGCATCTTAGACTATTCCCTTCTCCCTCCTTATTTCTCACAAAGGGATTATCTTAGTCTCATATTTTCTAAAGATGAGTCAACTAGTTAAATAACTAAATCTCGGCCGTGGGCTGGCGGGCTAGT